ATTTTGCTTCAGCTTTTGCCTTTAGGGGAAGAAGATTATGATGTATTATCATTATCTAAGTGTTAGGTGTCTCTTCAATTGCTTCAGAATTTCAGTGTCTTTAAGAAGTTTAGTATACGTGTGCTGTCTTTTTTTCATAGCATTAATTATCATCACGTTGTTGTCAAGAAAATTAGCATTTCATGTTACCGATATTTCTATCTACCTTTCTGGCAATGCTTTCTTTCAAATTTTGTTTTTTGCATTATGCACTTTACAGTTGACAGGAGGCTGGGCAGAAGCTAGATTTGTTAAACTGAGGGAAAGTGTCCAGAGGAATCAAGGATGTGTTGTGTACTGAATGTGTAATGGCTAATTTGACCCATAGGGACATGATCAGACGTTTAGAAATGCACTTAATTATTCTGCATTCTACTAATTGAGACAAATTTGTAGATATTGTGCTTTAAATCTAACAATTAAGTATTTGCTAGAAGTAGAAAAAACAGACATTGTTTTAGATACTCTTTTTTCCTCTTCCAAATATCACATTTGTAAAATAATCATAGTCAAAACTAAAATCCCGGGGCAAATGTTAATTTTAAAAAGCTAGCAGTATATTCCAGTGCATGTGTACCCAAAAAGAAATCCAACTGAATTAATGGGATCTCACTCTCAAGTGAATGTTTATAGGGTTGCAACTAAGGACACAGAAAATTTAAGTGCCTAACCTTGTGGTTAACCTGCAGCCAAGACTCTGCTCACAACCTCAGTTTGATCCCATTGGGCTCAGGTAGCTGATTTGAGGTTGACTCAGCCTTCCATCTTTCTGAGGGTGGTAAACTGAGTACCCAGCTCACTGGGGTGATGGTGGTAAGCAATATATAGCCTATATAATTAAATTGTAAATTGCAAAAACTGAGTGCTTTAACCTGCACCTTTGTAACTGATCACTGGCAGAACAATGGTAAAAGGAAGCTGGTCTTGGAATTCAGAATTTTCTTGTATCGAGTCTTACATCTAGCTGGGAATTAGGTCCACTAAATTGATGAGAATTCCCCAGAGGAGCACATTTTAATGAAATTAACGTTATCCCATTTAGATGCAAATCTGTAATCTAATTGTTGTTGTTTAGTCATTAAGTCGTGTCCGATTCTTCGTGACCCCATGGACCAGAGCACATAAGGCCCTCCTGTCTTCCACTGCCTCCCGGAGTCGGGTCAATTTCATGTTGGTAGCTTCGATGACAATGTCCATCCATCTCGTTCTCTGTCGTCCCCTTCTCGTCTTGCCTTCACACTTTCCCAACATGTCTTTTCCAAGCAGTCTTCTCTTCTCATGAGATGGCCAAAGTATTGGAGCTTCAGCTTCAGGATCTGTCCTTCCAGTAAGCACTCAGGGTTGATTTCCTTCGGAATGGATAGGTTTTTTCTCTTTGCCAGTCCAGGGAACTCTCAAGAGTCTCCTCCAGCACTACAATTCAAAAGCATCAATTCTTTGGCAGTCAGCCTTCTTTATGGTCCAGCTGTCACTTCCATACATCACTACTGGAAAAGCCATAGCTTTGACAATGCGGACCTTTGTCGGCAAGGTGATGTCTCTGCTTTTTAAGATGCTTTCTAGGTTTGTCATTGCTTTCCTCCCAAGAAGCAGGCGTCTTTTAATTTTGTGGTTGCTGTCACCATCTGCAGTGATCATGGATCTAGTTGTTAGAAGAACAATCTAGTTGTTAGTCCCAACTAAATTAAAAACATAGAATCAATTAGGTTATTTTACCAATTTCTGTTAAGTGCCATTGATTCAAGTATCACTGATTCAGGGGGTCTAATGGGGTTCAGTGGGACAAATATTTAGAATTAGACCAAAGACTGGAGAAAGGAGCAAATGTTAATACTAAGATGTGTGGTAGGACTGTGGATCAGATTGAGGAGTAGTTCACAACTAAAATATTTTCAGGCTTAATGAGAATATCTGTTTATTGTCTCCCCAACTGAATGAATAGCTGCACAGTAGCTTAGAACGGCTTGCTTGCCTGCAACTCCACTAATTTATGCTGTGTCTGCATGGCATACTCCTTAAAGAGAAGCAGACTTTAATCCTTGCACTGGTATGTTCACAATCCATGATTCTACAGGGGGAGACATTAATTGAGTCCAGGCTTGACCATGGTTGGAACGTTCCTCTTCTCTTATTTATGAAACCTAGCTCAAAACTGAACTAGTAATTACACAGACTGTGAGAAGTCATGTCAGAGGTCAGATATTTGAGATCATTTTCCCACAGTGGCCTTGTGCAAGCGATCCCTTACTGTGTTTTTTTTTAAATGGTCAAAGAGGATTAGATAGGATTAGAAAAAATATTGCCCTCCCAGAACTAGCCTCAAGACACTAAGAGAAGAACCTAGCCAGGCAGTAAATAGACTTTATTTGACCAGGGCACTGCCTTGGCTACATTCCTTCAAGAATCTGAATGAGAAAAGTTAAGTCCTCTAAAGTGGATTAGTAAATAATCTCATGGTTTGTGGTATCTGCTCAAATAATTCACCAAGTTGGCAGCATTATTAGTTTTAGAGAGAGCTGATAGAATTATTGGCTACAGTGATCAAAGATAGAATTAACTTTAGCCATTATTAAGAAGAACAGGGCAATTCATAAGCAAATTCTAGAAAGTCATTCATTTAATGTCTATCAACTTTCTGAGTTATTTTCCTCAAGGAAAACATCAACATAATTTTAATACTTTAAAATATTGTAATTTTTTCTCTGGGAGACTTACAAAAAGACACATATGTGCATGTGCAAGCATCTGAGTGTGTATGCATGTGTTTTTCAAAATAGGACTTATTTCCAAAATAACCCTATGCCTTTTAGGAAGGGGGTATGAGATGTTCTTTTCCTCACTCCTCCTCCTCTCTCTCTTATCAGCTGCTCAGTCAGGAGCCATTTTAGTATGAATTAGCCTTGTCCCAAGGACACACCAAAAGACATGGCAAACTGCAGGTGCATTAAGAAATGAAAAGAACTGACACATCCAAATCAAATGCAAGCTAGGATGTATCATTGCTGAAATGACTCTATGACACAGTGCTAATTTGGAAAGGACAAATTAAAAAAAATATTCTTGAAGCACTCAACATCAGACACGCTTTTGGAGAGGAATGTCCTGCGGAAGCTTCCATGAATATATCACTGAGGTACTTGCCCCAAATGAGGTGATCACAAATGTGAGGAAATGGCAGAGGAGAGTGTACTTCTTAAGTTGATCCAAAATAAACAACCTCTTGCCTCTTGTTCAAAATAAAGCGATTGACCCCTGAAAAAGAGCATGCTATGGAGTATGTTGTGTAATCACACAGAAAGAGGCATCAATTTCAAGTGGGGTAACAACAGTGCAAAAAGCAAAGTATTTCACCATGTAGCTGTACCCTAAGTCTCTTCTGTTTGAGGCCTCCCTGTCATTTTGAAAGCCCAGCTAAGATGGAAGCTCCCATAGTGTCCCATTAAATTCTATTCAACAACTTTTAACATCAGGCACATGGTCCTTGTTGCTAGCATGGCTGGGTGTTGCTTCCTTTTCTGTCTCTTGAGAATCATTTCTTTATTAATCCTGTTCATTTTGTTTATTGTTTTCTGCTGCCCTAATATTATTCCTCTCTACACACACACACACACACACACACACACACACACACCACCACCACCAACAACAACAACAACAACAACTATAATGCTACTTTTCAGGGGTATTATTTACTTCTGAAAACACAGATTTTGCTCCTATATAAACTTTAGAACTGCTCGAGTTGCATTTGAAGCAGGAGATTTCAAAACAGCAATAATATGTCACAAATCAATATGCCTTGCCTTCATTAGTAGAGTTCTTGTTCCATTGGAGAAAGGATTGCCTTCAGTTTGAAGATTTGGAAGGAGAGATTGGTATATATACAGTACTACTGATGGCTTTTGCTGCATAGGCAGTTTCCTGACACTTGGTTGCCATTGTAGTTTTCACTGATTTATGTTTGGCCAATGCTTTCTCTTCTACTTTTCTTGAAAAATACTCCTCAAAAGTTAATGTTATTGCAATGCTTGCTAGAGTGGTTGTATCTTATGACCTACACATTTTACTGATGCTCACAGTAGTCAACATCTATTTTATCTAGAGTCTAAATGAAAGCTGTGCAGCATGTAATCTGTGACTCGACTCAAGTCCCTATGACTTTGCAGCTCCAGTGCAACTCTAAAGGCTTCCATTTTAGGAGGGTTTTATAAATAAACTGGCTAAAAATAGCCTTATTTCTGTTTTTGGACATCCAATGAAAGCTGTGCAGCATGTAATCTGTGACTCACATGGAGTCCCTATGACTTTGCAGCTCCAGTGCAACTCTAAAGGCTTCCATTTTAGGAGGGTTTTATAAATAAACTGGCTAAAAATAGCCTTATTTCTGTTTTTGGACATCCCCCAAAGCAATAGTGTTTACATCAGGAGCCTCAGATGTAGTTTCCTAAGGCCCTGACTTAAACTAACAAAGAAACTGGAAATATCTGATCTGGCACTTACTGTTTATCTTTTAAAATTATTATTAATAATTTAATATTATTAATAATGGCCCAAATCAGCCATTTCTAGGCCTAATACACTTCTTAGAAGGGTATCTAGGGGGGAAAATGGCCACTGAATCTTGGAGGGGTCCAACTAATAATTTAATCTCTGAATCAGCAATTACATTCTTGTTCCTGGATTCATTTTACATACAGCTATCTGAAATACAAATACATTCATAAAGTATTATCACTGATTGGATTTCATCTTTTCCTTCTTGTATCAGTGGAATCTCTGTGTACAGGAGGAATTTCAAATAACCCAACTAATTCACACTTTGTTCTGATCAAGGGCTTTTATTTAAGTAATAATCAGATGAAGATGAAACTAATTTTGACAAATTTGAGTGTTTGTGTATTCAAAAAAAAAGTTACAGTAGCCTGTGTAGTTTTATACCTTTTCGTGTTTTTTTCCCCCAGTACTTGCTAGAAATGAAAAGCTTAATTTTACCTCCAGAACACATTCTAAAACGAGGAGACAGTGAAGCAGTGGCGTATGCTTTCTTCCATCTCCAGCACTGGAAGCGAATAGAAGGGGCCCTTAACCTGTTGCACTGCACATGGGAGGGCAGTAAGTATTATTTTCTCAATGACAGCCTAAGTTTCCTTTTCAACATTTTAACTAAGTACCTGAACATTCTTGTGGCTGTTTTCAAGAGGATAATCTAGGGGAAGAGGGTTTGTCCTCATTATTTGCAGAGCTCTCCTCTGCAATTCTAAAAAAGATAGAGTAGTGTGGCTTCAGCTGGATATTATTTGTTCTTGCCCTGGTCTCAGTTGTGTAGAAGATGCAAGGAAAATGTGTCTTACCTTGTGTGCTTATCCAGGTGAACAGATTACATATTTATTGGTTGAAATCCTATTAGTTTGTTATGCATGAGGAAGGCAGATGACGTAACATTCAGTTGCTTCTTGCTGGCAATTGATGAGGCCCACAGAGATTCTTGACTGTGCACCAAGCCATCAGGAACACATGTCCCCGCCCTGAGAATCCCAGTAGGGACTTGTTAATTGTCATCTAGAAGCAACTGAATGTCATGCTATTTGCATTCCAGATGCATGTAAACCAACAGGATTTCAACCATTCTTGCACTGGGCATTATATAAGAATTTTTTACAGTGTCATGAATATATAGTATCTGGAGTTATTAAATTTTCTTTCCTTAAAAATTGTATTTTTAAATACTAGAATTTGTGAAGATAGCTGTGAAAACAGTGGCTGAAATCTTGTTTATGTAAGTTCCAATGCTGTAAAATTGATGACGTCAGCAGCAGGAGCCCTTTCTTTCTAACCATTTACTCCCCCTGTTCCAAGTCCCCCATGGGCGAACATCCCTTTCATTGTTGGGAACCTCTTGGGGATGTGGGACAGAAAGATGAAATGTTTGACTTACAAAACATTGCCCTGACTGACATCAACCTTATGTTGCAGCATTTACATGAACAGGATTAGCCAGTTTTTACTTATGTTCCTCTTAGACCAGCTGTCAGGTTTGGGAATTGGAGGTACAGCATTGCACTGGCTTTGTTCCTTTCTCATTGACCAGTGCCAAATGGTCCAGCTTGGGGATGCTCTTTCATCCCCAAGCTGGACCATCCTATGGTATCACACCGGAGTCTGTCATCTTCCCACTGCTGTTCAGCATCTTCATGAGGATGCTGGGGAGGTCATTTGAAGATTTAAAGTGTGCTGTCATGTATGCTTATGACACACAACTTTCCTCTTTGCTGGGGGGGGTATAGACCCTGGAGCACTGTCTGCCACAGTTATGGACTGGAAAAGGGCTAATAGGTTGAAGTTGAATCCTGGCATGATGGAGATCATATTGTTAGGAGGGCACCCTGATTAGTTTGTTGCCTGGTCTAGAAGGATCAGGTTCGTAATTTGGGTGTGCTTCTGGATCTACCCCTCCTGATGGATGATCAGACCTTGGCCATGGTCATATCTGCCTTTTTTCATCTTAGACGAATTGCATACCTTTGCTTCTATCTCAACATAAAATCCCTAATAACATGGTTCATGCATTGGTAATCTCAAGAATCAAGTATTGTAATGCTCTCAACATGGGGCTACCTTGGAAGGCAGTTCAGAATTTGTAGCAAGTGAATGGCCAGTATAGTCTCAGGAACATTGAAATTTAATCATATTTAATGTGTTCTGCCCTGTTCGTACTGGTCACCAGTATACTTCTAGGCCAGACCTGGGCAAAGCGTGGCCCGCAGGCCACATACAGCCTGTGAGCTGCTCCTGTCTGGCCTGCCCATTGCCGCTCCTGTCCGGCCCACCCGTCGCCGCTCATGTCCAGCCTGCCCGTTGCCGCAGAGTGAGCCGGAGCTCCGGCTCTGGTCACCCAGCACGGCAGTAAGCAAAACTCACAAGATCCGATGCTGGGATCTTGTGAGTTTTGACTGTTACTACTGAGCCGCAGGCTGCGGAGCCTGCACCTCAAGCGGCCAGAAGCGATCCTTGCGCAGGCGACGTGATGACGCATCATGTTGCCTGCGTGGGATAGAAGACAGAGAGGAAGGCCACGGGGGAACGGAGGACAGGTGAGTTAGCTCAGTGTTGGTTTTTTTCTCCCCCCCCCCCCCGCGGTGAACGAATTACAATGCTCCTGTAGTTAACTCCCTAAACAATTTAGGGAGTTAACTATGTCAGCCTTGTAGTTCGTTTACCACAGGACCTCACCCAATGGGGGCTTATTACTACCCACAAATTGGAGGCCTATTACAACCCACCTAATGGGAGCCTATTTTTAAGTAAAGTTGGTTTGGCCCCCGAACACAGTTCAGATTTTTCATGTGGCCCCTGTAGAAATTAATTGCCCACCCCTGTTCTAGGCCATGTTTAAGGTGCTAATGTTAACCTATAAAGCCTTATATTATAGTTTAGGGCATTGCTCCTAAGAGAGCACCTCTCTCAGATCAATCTCTTATCCTAACTACATCTCTAAATCCTTGATGTTGCAGGTGGCCAAACCAAGGGAGGCCTGGAAATGATCAACTAGGAACTGGGCCTTCTTAGCAGTGGCTGCTTCGCTATGGAATTTCCTTTTGGTGGAGGTGCATCAGGCCCCCACCCTCCTTAGCTTTAGGAAGCAAATTGAAATATGGCTTTTCACCCAGGCCTTTGGCAACCTTACCCCTTTTAAATTTAACTAATATGTAATTATGTAACAGCCCTATTTGAATTGTTTATTGTTTAATAGTTGCTTTCATTTCCACCATGCTGCTAAACAATTGGGTTTTTGGATGGGCTTTTGTTAGTTAGTTTGTCATTTTAATTGTGTGCATTGTGTAGCTGCCCAGAGTAGTGGCATGCATCTTGACGGTTTTAAATTAATAAATTAATTCTCTGAAGAAAAACAGAAAATATTTTAAAATGTTATGTTTGCCCACATTTCTACGCATAAAATCTTTAATATTTACACAAGGTGACATAAATAAATACCTAAAGCTTCACTGAACTTGTAAGCCTAACTTCCTTTAACTGTTAAATTTAGTCATTGACTTTGCTGTATTTCATCTAAGCATTGTCGCATCCCTTCAAATAGATTTACGTAGTTTTGGACACTGAAATCTTTTGGCTCAACGCAAGTGGCAGCATTTGAATTTTTATCAAATGAATTTTTGGTTTTGTCCATCTCAAGAAAATTAAAACCTACAGCTTGTTTCTAGAACTCCTTGATGGTTGTGTGATAGTTATTTTGTAAATGAACTGATTAACATATGAAATTTGCTTCTTGTCCTTTTGACCTCTTCACAACCTATTATTGTTAAAGAGTAGCTAGTCCAAACGTGTCTAGTGTAGGACAACCAGCAAAGAGAATTCTGCATGGATTTGGTGCCAATGACTATTTATTCCTCTTTTTCAGCATTTAGAATGATTCCATACCCATTAGAAAAGGGCCATCTATTTTATCCCTATCCCAGCTGCACAGAGACAGCAGACAGGGAATTATTACCAAGTAAGTGATTACTACATTTCTCAAATTTTGTTCCTATAGTTAAAGTTCTTTTTTTCTGTGTTGTTTGCACACCTACTTTTTTATACATGCATGTAACAAATATCCAAATATACAGATTATACTCTTCCCACATTCCTCAGGTTTCTTACACAATGCCACATCAAATGGAGATGTGTGGTGACATTAAGATGCTTAATATCTCTGTTATTGTATGTGTCCCTAAAATAGGTATGTAGGGTGCTTGCAGAATCCTGTGTAAAATGAGTTTCACTTTTGGCCTTCTGGATGTTGAACCTTTAGGAAACAGTGTTTGTCATGATTTTTATAATTGGTGACAGCAAATCAAATGGCATGCTCTGAGAGCCTTGAGATTTCTATAACAGTTCTGTGTTTGTGCACTGCCATGTGTACTCAGGTGCACCTGATAAGAAAACGACAACAGTGACAACTTTGGCCAAAATCCTGTTGCTTAGCCTAGTAAATCATACTAGAGTAGGCCCATTGGCAATGGGGATTTAGTGAGTAAACTTATGGTCTGTTAATTCAAATGGGCCTATTCTTGTTGCAACTTACTATGCTAACGTAAGTCACAGACCCATTTGAAATAATAGGCCCATTTGAAATAATGAAATTTTGTGGGGGACTCATCATATCCCCATTGATTCTGTTGGCCTACTCTAGTGTGATTTCCTCAGCTAAGCATCAGGATTTTGGCCTTTGAGTTGCTTCTTTGGATGTTTCCAGGTTGTATTATCAAGTTTATTTTAATAGTTGCCTGATTTTCATTTTTTAAAAGTTTCTAGAATATAGCCTTGAAGCACAGGTGGGTAACTTGATTTTGAAGATACGTCAAAAATCTCTGTCTGAAAGTGAATCTGAATCTCTGACCTTTATCTAACCCATGCCTAATAATGGATCCTCCAGCACAGTACTGTTTTGGGCTGGTTTTTTGCATTACTGATGAAGTCATAAAAGAGGGTTTCCCTTCCATCAAACTGTAATCTTGAGTTAAGCTCTTTATAGTAGCCCATGAGTAGTCCTTTATAATGTTATCTGAAAATACAGTTCTACATGTGCGAACTTTGGGGCCCTTTTAAATAATGAGGTTTTGTTTCATGCTAGGTGTGGGTGAGATTCTATTAAGTGCTAACTTCTGCATCTTGGGAGTGCTTGGTTTCTAACTTATATGGAGTACTCATAACTAAAGCAGTGAAGGTGCATGTATGCCACTAGTGTACTTGCATATATGTAATTCAGTTTTTTAAAATTAAATCTTGAAAAGCTCTATTTAAAAAAAATTAATTAAAATCTGCCCCCAGACTCCTCTAAATTACTCATTTCTCACTCATGCAGGATATTGTTCAAAGTATGTTTTAGCTAGTGAACTAACCTTAGGCTATGGGATTCCTGGTATAATTAAACTCCAGTGCATGCAGACATTTCAGCACAAATCACTCACGCATACCTGTTAATTTTGTTTATGAATCATTTTGTATTTAAAACCTAATGCTTTTTAATACTGCAGCACTCAAGAGTTTAAAAATTTTAAAAATTCTTTTAGCTTTGACCTGTTCTTAGAGTGAACAGACTTCTTACCCTATGGTGCCTTGTATCATTCTTCTTGTGAAAGATTATTTCGAAAATAATCTTCTCTGTTCACTGTTCTTGAAAACTTTCATTTTACACTGGATCATTTACTGGGTCTACTAGGATTCTTTGTATTCAAGCCATGCCTGTTCTTTTTTTCCACCCTCAGAACTTTTAGATTTCTAAAACCTGGTTATAATTGAGAATTCAATAAGTATTAACTGATGCTTTTGTTCCATAAAGGAGGGAGCGTAATTGTTCTTGTAGGTTTTGATTCTGGACTAGTCATTTATGGGGAAAAGATATGATAGTTTTATTACATCTGTGGACTCTCAGAGATTATATTTTCAAACCCATGTTACAAAATACATGTAACATAATTTAATGATAAGAGAGATTAAGAATAGAGCAAATGAAACTTTCAGAAAAGTGAAATCAGCTTGAGTTTCCTATTTAAAAAGTAGGAAATGGTGAAATAGTTATGTCTGTTACCCAGAAACTGAGCGGTGAAAAGCTCAATTCAGACTTTCTAAGAAGGGCAGGTTTTTTTAAAACTGAGACCCTATCCTGTTCTTTTGGTGATGGGACATTTAGGAGGCTCTGCAGTCCAGCTCATACACTATAGGAGGAGACAGTCTTTCACTGAGCCTGGCCCTAGATTCTTTAGTGTTTCTTAAATTAAAGCTAATAATGTTAATTAGCCCCGGAAACAAATTGCGAGCCAGGGAAATTGATATGACAGTTATGGTATGATCTATCTCTAAAGAGCCCAATGGGGAAAAATTATGTAGAAAGATTCCAAACAGCAACCTTGAAAAACATAAGGCAGCTATTTGAGTGTTACTGACACACCAGCTGAATCTAGGCAACTATACTGCTGGTCCCAGTTGCCACCTGAGTATCCAGAATTAAAGCTGGGTTCAGAAACATGCCCCTGATGCATCGGAAGAAGTGCAAACCCATCCAGAAGAGTTTGTTTGCATCACTGTTGCAGACAAGACTTTTACTGGCCTTTGAGTCCTGTTTTACAATCTGTTCTTATCAAAGCCTGCCTTGACTATTATTGTCCAAGCAAAGAGACTGTCCAAATGTAAGCTGTACCTGTTCCTTGAAGAACAGTGAAAGAAACACGTTCATCAAGAAGAAAAGTTGCTCAAAACCAAAAATGATACTTCTAATATGGTTGTGATTGGTGCCTTAGTGTTCATGGCATTTTTGAGTGTACAACAAATCTCTTTGACACATCCACTCCCCCAAAAGCTGAATTGGTAAGAATAAATTTCTGTGGCCTGCAGCAGCCCTACCAAATTCTAATCAAGAGTCAGTATCCGAAACAGTTTCTAGCTGTTCATGTGGTTGCAATTAATAGTGTGCCTAGGCACCACAAGAACAAGTGTACTATCACTTGTGGAGAAACCAATGGAACTCAGCTAGTGCATAGTGTTCTTCTACTGACATTATATTGGATTTAGGCTGTGTTTGCACATGATGCCTTGGCTTCATAATAAGTTGAAGAAGTAATGATGCTTGATACATTCCTTTGGAAGTCTTCATAGTGCTCCAAACAGTTGCCCTGAGAGACCCAGCATATGTCCAAAATACCTAATGAGGTATATCTATAGATACGTGCTACCACCTTGTATAAAAGTGACAGTTGAAAGACATGGGTCCCATTCCTGTGAATCACTCTAAGGAAACAACTATATATTTAGATGCACCAACTATGGAATAATGTACAAATAAGTGAATCAGTCTGTTGTATAGTTCATATACATCTAAATGTGTGCTACCAATCTGACTGCTATAGGGATCATTTTGTAAAGTATGTTCATTCTTCATCTCCTCTTCCTCTTTGATAACTTGATCCCATACAGTTGGCAAAAAGTACTTGTTGACTGGAGGATACAGCACTAATATTGAAAATGAACTATGTTGTACTATCCAAATTCCATTACTGGTCAATAATGCCTTGTGTTATACTGCTAAAATCTGTTAAGTTCAGATTTGTGAGTACAACTGGCCCTTATAATAGTAGATTAATTTCAGATGTCTGGCTGTTTCCTTGAAGGTCAAGACTTGCATTAATCATACATGAATATTTGAAATAAATAATTTTCTCTCTCCTTTTTCCCTTTCAGCATTTCATGATGTATCGGTGTACCCTCAGAAGGAGCTTCCTTTTTTCATCCATTTTACAGCAGGGCTTTGCTCTTTTACAGCAATGCTAGCCTTGCTCACTCATCAGTTTCCTGAACTCATGGTCATTTTTGCTAAAGCTGTAAGTATCATCTCTACTCCAGGACTTGCTTAAGATTTTTGTGTAACATGCAAAAATTAATCTGTACATGGCTAAAATCTAATTGCTAGCCATGAACTTCTAAAAACCTGATTCAGCACAATTCAGTTTCTCACTTTTGTTTTTTAAAAAAGAATTTACGAAAGTCAGTCCCTGAAGATGCCAGTACTGTATTTCCTTATCTGCTGCCCTTTGTGTCAGTAGGAGGAAGTATTTGAGATATCAATGTGTCTGGTCTTTAAAGTCGGGGGCAGTCCTGCGAGCCCACTTAAAACCACATGTGGTGCTTCTTTGATTTCAAGGATATATTGATTAAGGATTTATGTTTAAATTCATAGAATGAAAGTACTAATCAATAGATGATAAGCTTTCTGGCACAATGCAAATGCAGACTATATTGTTATTGGCATATTGTTTCTACTTTTATTTGCTGTCATGTCACTTCGAACTTGTGGCAACCCTAATGGGTTTAGTGATATGTCTGATGTCCATGGAATGATTTACGATTGCCACACACCAGTGAGTTCCAACAGTCAAGCAGGAATTTGAACCTAAGCCAGTCAGATACTCTTATCTGTTACACCATGCTAATTCTCATGTTGCCTTTACTTAACTTTTTCTTCCAGGAAACTTATTGGGATGTGGTTGTTTACCAAAGGATGTTTTGTGCATGTTCTGAGTAGCAGCTTAGAGATAGTTGGTTGCAGCATAATTTACAGTGTGTAACAACATGATCTGGATATTACTGATCACACCTACTTGTCTACTTTTCTTGTGGCTTCTTCCCACAGCTATTGTGATTTTCATCATCAGGAAGGAGAAGATGGTTTAACATGTTAGTTGTGGTGTGTGATAAATACACCAGGGTTTTCTGCATTTTGTTCATATTTTCAGTATCGTATGTATTTGGAAATAGAACTCAAAGAGTACCTGTAATGGTATTCCCTGCTTTTTGCTGTTATCAGAATTAGCAACTGAATTAAGTTGAACAGGGTTTGGATTGTGCTGCTGCTAGGAATCTTGACTTGCTGACTAGGAGGAAGAAAGACATTGGTCTTGCTTGGACCCTGTGGTCTAACCCCAGCTCAGTAGGTTTCTCTAGATATGAGAAACCTCAGAGAAACCTCAATAGGGTTCTCAGTATATGAACACACATAAATTTCCTCCTAGACACAAACTTTCATTGGTAGGGACTTTTGAATGTGCTCATCTTTGGCCTAGCCCATCCCCTTTTCATCATTAGAAAATATGTTTCCCACCAGAACTGTGATGTATATGGGGTATTATATTGAATTATTGCTGTGAGGTGTGTATATGGGATTTTTAAAGAAAGCTCTGATTAGAAATGGAAATGTCCTTCATAAGCTACATTCTTTTGTGGAGATTGCAAGTAATGAAAGGGATAAGAAGTTATAAGATTCTATGTAGCAGCAAGCTTAATTTTTCAGAGGTAGAAACATACAGTGGTGGCTCGCTTAGCGATGTTGATCCATTCCAGGAAAAATGTTGCTAAGCGATTTCATCGCTAAACGGAATAAAAAAGCCCATAGAAGCGCATTAAAATGTGTTTAATGTGTTCCTATGGGCTTAAAAACTGACCTTATGCAAAGATCCTCCATGGGGCGGCCATTTTCAGTGCCTCTAAAGCGAGGCAAAACAGTGGGTGGCCATTTTGTTTTTCCAACGGCCATTTTGGAACTGCCAATCAGCTGGTCGAAAATGGGGGCTTTGCGATGATCGCTTCCCCGCAATCATCGCAAAGCGAATTTTCCCCATAGGGGCCATCGCTAAGCGATCGCTCTGGCAATGGCCAAAACCCCATCGCTATGCGATTTCATCGCTCAACGGAGCGATCGCTAAGCGAGGCACCACTGTATTGAGAAGCAGTGTGGTGTCGTGTATAGAGAGTCAGACTAGGACTTGGGTGATCCACTCAGGAAATTTACTAAGTGCTGGCACTGGTCAAACTATTCCTTAAATCTCTCACATACTTTAGAAACATATACACCTACATTACTTACAGCTAAAGTATATGTTTATTGTCCGTACTCCTGTAGGCCTAGATGGACTTGTTATTAAGAGCTGTTTCTTCTCAGTACAGTTCAAAAATATTATCCCAAATCTGCTTTGTATTGTAGGCTAGTAAACATTGCTGTTATGGTCTTGTCTTTGACTGGGATATATATTGATCTATATAAGCTGCTGCCTTGACTTACTATGCTTAACTTGTGAGAGAAGGTAGAACATTGTCCCAGTAAAGTATCAAATAATTTTTTATTAACCTCCCATCAGATGTTCTTAATACTTTAATTTCTAGCATTTGTCCTGGAACTTCTGAGCGGAGTTCTAAATCCAGGTAACGAATGCAATGAACAAATGCAAGAGCAGTGCAAATTTGTTAATACTGAAGTTTCACGAAGTCCATGTGTACTTTCATTTTATTAAGCAATGCTAGAACTATGTTGTTCTAATAAGAGAGGCCTGTTTGTGCTGCATTTAGTTTAATTTTTATATGGGAAAATTTTGCTGGATGTGCCAGGAACACATTTCTATGTGCATAGTTGGATAAATTTGCAGAAGTATAGATATAATTTCCTGATTTATTATTTAGAGACTACTTTAGCAGAATTGTATGATTTCCAATGAGATACTAAGTCAGATATTATAATAACAAATAATTTATTCAGTGAGGTTCTCTGCTGGTTGTCTTTAATCAGTATGGTTATCATTTTATTTGCATACAGGGCAGTTTGAATGATGAGTGCTACATCTTAACAGAGAATGCTTCGGGTGTATTACCCTGTTTCCCTGAAAATGAGACATGGTCTTATATTAATTTTTGCTCCACAAAATGCACTAGGGCTTATTTTCAGGAGATTTTTTTTTTTGTCATGTACAACCATCTACATTTATTCAATTACAGTCATGACATCTTCTGGTTGCTGCACAATTGTGGACGGTGGAGTTTCACTTAACTAGGGCTTATTTTTGGAGTAGGACATATTACGAGCATCCCAAAAAATCATACTAGGGCTTATTTTCAGGTTAGGTCTTATTTTAGGGGAAACAGGGTAGTAAGAGTAAAGTACTGTTCTGACAGCATGCATAATAGGAATTAGATGGTTCAACTGTGGTGTGCCACATGACACAGAGAAGATGAGAGATGAGGAAACTATTCTGCTTTTACTTTAATTCGTGCAATTACAGTTACCCTTCCCCATGATGTTTGTTTTATAATGCATTCAAAACTTACCAACTTGGACAAACAAAACTGGACTTCACACAAACCCAAATCATATATTTAAAGACTCTAAATTTGAAGCATAAATGTATTAATAAATAATCTGCACCCATTTACACACAAATACAGTGGTGCATCGACTTACGAATGTCCCTACTTATGGCCATTTCGACTTACAAACAGCTCCAGTAGCAAAATTTTGCTTCGACTTGTGACTGGAGCTTCAACTTACGACTGGGGAAAAACCGCGGGGAAAGCGGGAAATTTGAACTGCTTTCAGTTGTTGGTCAGCGAAGAGGCTGCTTCTCTGTACCTCGTTTGCCCCAGTGGTTAGAGAGTGTGGATATGGAGAGAGACTTCGGACTGCCTGGTACTGCTTGGTACTGTACTGCCTGGTACTGTACTGTACTGTACTGTATTTTTTCTGGCTTTTTTAATTTTTGGATTGTTGACTTTCTTTTTTAAATAGAGAGACTGCCTGTTCTGGTAGTGCTGTATTTACTGTACAGGGTTTTGTTGTTGTTGTTGTTTTGTTTTGTTTTGTTTTTTGCAGTGTTGGTTTGGGCTAGGTGGGGGGTTATGTTTCTGTGCTCTGATGGGTCTTGCAGTGTGTGTTTAAAATGTGAAAATTAGACTGTAATTTTAAAATGTAAAAAATATTTATTTTTTGCATTCTGTGGCTTTTAGGGTTTGTGTAGTGTGACCTCTCTTTTGTTTTAAAATGTGTGGGTTTAAAATGTGACTCCAAAGTCTTTTTGTTTTAAAATCAGAAAATCTCATGTGAGGGGCTGTGGTTGCACGCATGATGTAAAATGGGGTTTAGACTCAAGTCTCCACCCATTGTCTTCTCTCTCTCTATCTTCTCTCTTTTTGTGCTTAACAGCACAGATCATTGTCTGAGAGGTCTATGTGCCCCAGTGATGACCATCTTTCACTCCTCTTTTCCCTATTGTTCCTTCCCTCCCTCCCTCCCTCCTTTCCTGCCCTTTTTAAACCTAAGTCATCTTAGGTTAAAAGAAGAAAAATTCTCCCCCTAGTGGTAGAGGATGGATTAACCGCCTTTGCATTCGTTCCTATGGGAATGAATGCTTCGACTTGCAACCGGTGCCTCTACATACAACCCAAAAACAGCTGGAACGGATTAAATGGGTTTCAGTGCATTTCAATGGAAAATGCTGATTCGACTTACAACCATTTCGACATACAACCATCTTCTGGAACGGATTATGGTCGTGAGTCAAGGCACCACTATATGCAGTTCTGAGGAAAAAGCATGCTAGTTTTTATTGTTAATGTATGTACACCTCTGTCTTAGCAGACATTGTCTTGGAAGCCTGTTTGGAAAGAAAGGAAACAAGAAATCATAAGAGGGAATGGGGTATGTGGATGTCGGACATTGCTGGCTGAATCGATGAATGAACATTCAATAATCTTGACAGTAGTGACATGGAGTGCTTTTGTAAACATTCACATTATCAACACTTGTGTCTTGTTAACAGTTCTGTTTCTGTATCATCTTGATTGGTATGCCATTTTACAATTCAGCTTCTTGCCTAAAGGATATGTCAATTTTCATATTTTTTGCTAATAGCCTTAAAACTCATTTACTGAGATAAGTTAATATATTCTTTCTTTGATCAAAGTTGCACTTACTCTATTTCTTCTACTGTACCTAGTTTTGTCCTAATAAATTAATTATTGGGCTGTGCAATTGTCTAATTTAGCTCATTTTCTAGACTGGTATTTCCTGACAGCCTGGGGTAGGTAACATTTCAACTACTTGCTCTCCCCCCCTTTTTCCCAAAAGAATCAAATTTAAATCATTTTGCATTTCTTAAAATCGGCTGTTAAATGCCAGTTGAAATAGAAATCTCTTACAGGAAAATAGTCAAGTTCCCAACATGACGGAAATCCAAGTATATGAGACCAGCCGCTGAAAACCTTTCTGTGTGTCAAAGCTGTGCAAATTTGGCATGTAGATTTATGTAATCATACAGGCATGTCCTGTGGATAATTAATGGTTATGATGGCACAAAATTGAGAGGCTGGTCTATGAGGCAGCTAAGGGCTTAATAAGTTAAAACCAGCCTTCTGATTCATATCCAAAAGGCCTTGTTTCCTGTAAGTGGTGTGGTCAGCTTCCCCTCCTAGTGTACCAAAATTACCCTGATCCTCTGCATTTTTGTTGGCCATACCGCTGGAAGTAAAGGTCCATCCTTTTGCTTACCTTTTCCTTTTTAGGACAAAATACAGTGTTAGTTTTGGCCTTCCTTCATTTTAATCATGGCAGTCTTTGGACAGCCAAGTAACCTTGTAGTTGAAGCTATCTTGACCCTTTAACACACACTGAGCAAAGGACTGTGAACTTGTAGGTTTCTAAACCCAGTTTGGCATTCTTAATCTCTAAACAAAACAAAGTGTTAAGCTAGTTATAAGCCTTCGTTTCTTATTATTAATTTCAGACTCTGACTAACATTCCCTTTAAAACAGATTTATTCAGATTAGATAACATATAGTTTGGCCTGGATGTTGAAAAGATTACACTCATGTTTCAAGAAAGAGAGGACTTAGTTATTTGTTTTTATGATTTGAGATAAAGTA